AAATATTAAAAAATTCTGTCTCTCTCTCTCCTCTCTCTCTCTCTTTCTTAAAAAAAGAAAAGTAACAGTTTGACTGCAACACTGAGAATTTTATTTCTATAACCTTACATGACATGATATTCATAATTAGCTGCTGATCCTATTTTGTGAAGCAACACAATTATCTCTTTGGATTTTTAATTTTTACAACTATCATGATTTTGAATTTATTAGAAAGCTTTTATTGAAGCTCTTTGTATGCATTATCTAGAAGGTTCCCATAAAAGGGAAAAGATAATCAGGATTGCCCTCAAATAATCTACTTCTAGTGTATCTTACCCCAGTTCTTGGCAGATTGTTGTGGTCAGTATGTATCCTAGTATAGAACACATCCTTGGCTACATTCTCCCAGAGGAAGTCACTATTCTAGCTCCCAGTAAGAGAAAGGAAAGCTAAAGGTTTATGGAGAATACTGAAACCCCTCAGCTCCACATTTAGATGTCAGTGAACTTCATCTGAAACCTTTCTCACAACAAGTCCTAATCCCCACCACTCCCCCAGTCTCAAGGCCTTGTTTTTGGACAGGACTGCTAGGGGAAGGAAGCTGAGCTCACCAACTTTTAACTATGCATAAGGAATACTAAATTATAAGAGGTGGCAGAAAGTGCCCTTATTATTTCACTGCCCTTGGCAGTGAAAGAAATTCTTAGGGCCAGGATTTTGTGGTACTGGGGACTGAATCCAGGAATGTACTATCTCTGAGTTACAGCACCAGTCCTTTTTTAAAATTTTATTTTGAGACAGGTTCTCACTAACTTGTTGAGGTTGGCCTTGAACTTGTGATCCCTCTACCTCAGCTTTCAGAGTAGTTGGGAGTATAGGTATGCAACACCACTCCTGGCAGGGCCAGGATTTTTAAAAAAATGAGTAAATGCTTGTAGTATATCATACCTCCTTCCCAACTTATCGCTGCTCATTTTATGTTTCCTTCCCTTCCTTCCTTCCTTCCTTCCTTCCTTCCTTCCTTCCTTCCTTCCTTCCTTCCT